CAAGCCGGAAGGGCGGAAGCCTTCAGTATGGACTCCGCCTACTCGGAGCAAGTACCAGCACTCCTGCAGAGGGGCAGGCCGACCCTGGGAGGCGCCTATGCCCTGGACAAAGGCTCCCTGCCGGTGAGGATGCTGCCTAGAGAGTTAGCAGCCAGGTCTAGTCCTGAGGGGCCAGCACACTTCTGCCCCCCACCCTCCTCACCCCTTCCATGTCACCAGGCGTCCAGTGTGATAGTTGTTGAATCATCCATCCATTCAATTCATACCACAAGTATTTACTGAGTGACCATCAGACCTCAGGGGTGTGGGGAGCTTACAGTCTTGTAACAGTATGTATCAATATTTTCAATTACAGTCTTCCTTGATTTTATGCTTAGAAATTCCTCCCTCATTTAGCAAACTGGTAACTGTCCATATAGATACATAGTTTTTCCTATTTATTTTTATCTGTTTTAATTAATTTTGATGTCTGGTGTGACAGACTCAACTTCTCAGTTTTTCTCAGATGCTCAATTGTCCCAGCCCAGTTCCTTCCAAGTTAGGATATTGTCATATCCTAGAGTCTTAAACGTTCTTAGAGTTTTAAGCCTGAGGTATAACTTACAGTAAAGTGCATAAATATTTACTGTAGCCAGCTTGAAGAGTGCACCTAGGTGCATCTGCCTTATGTAATCATAGTACATCAAAAAATGTTTCAATAATGAGTTTTTACTCCTAGAGCATCAGAGACAATTAACACTCAACATGATTTCATTTTCTAGCCTTGGTAGTTTGGTTTAACCTCAATTTAACTGTGAATTATGATGATAATAATTAATAATACTAATTGATGGCACATGGAAAGATTTTGTCATGTACTGGGCACTAACTGAGCTCTGGTGGCGGAGTGCCTAAGGCCTTTGACTGCTAACCAGAAAGCTGCCTGTTCAAACCCACCAGCCACTCTTCGGAAGGAAGGTTGGGCAATCTACTTCTGTAGTGATACCGCCCCGGAAACCCAAGGAGGGGTTGCTGTGAGTCGGATCCAACTCGAAGGCAGTGAGTTTGTTTGAGTTACATACATAATTTAATTTCATTCTTTTGTGTTGGAGGCAGTTGTCAGTATAAACAAACTAAAAATATATTAATGGTGTTGTTAGGTGCTGTTGAGTTGGCCCTGACTCATAGTGACCCCACGTGCAACAGAGCGAAACACTGCCGGGTCCTGCGCCATCCTCACATCCTTGCATGTTGGAAGGCATGTCGTAAAAGCAAACCTAAAAAAAAACCAAAAAACCTGCCATGAGCTAGTGGCTCCTAGTGACGCTGTTGTTGTTATTGTTATGTGCTGACTCCTAGCAACCCCTCCTTGGGTTTCCGAGTTGGTATCCCTTCAGGTAGATTGCCCAACCTTCCTTCCAAGGAGTGGCTGGTGGGTTTGAACTGTCAGCCTTCTGGTTAGCAGTCAGATGCCTTAGGCACTATGCCACCAGAGCTCCCGACACTATAGGACAAAACAGAAATGCTTCATAAGTTTCCAAGGCTGTAAACCTTCAGGGAAGCAGACTGTCTCATCTTTCTTCTGTGGAGTGGCTGGTGAGTTCCAACTGCTGGCCTTTGGGTTAGCAGCTGAATGCATTAACCATTGTGCCACCAGAGCTCCATTTACAGTGTGCCTGACACCATGCTGAGCACTTGACACGCATTAATCATTTTATCTTCACAAAAACCTTGTAAGGCAGGCATTACTTTGTGATTGTTGTCGTTGTTGTTGTTAGGTGCCGTCAAGTCGGCCCCGACTCATAGCGACCCCTCCTCAGGTTTCTGAGGAAGTATCACTACAGAAGTACAGATGGGGAATTAGAGGCTTGGGGTGTCAGCCAGGTAGTAAGAGGTGGAGTTCCAGTTTGAGTCTAGGGTAGACTCATGAGTGCCCCCTGCTCTGGGCACTCTGCTCTCGCTCCTGCCTGAACACCTGGGAGGAATGCTGGAAACTTGAGAGGCTCGTCAGACACGTGGCTTGAGAAATTGTCTTTCATTCCCTCCCTAGAAGTTTAGAATCTCCAAGGGCAGACTTGGCGTGACAAGGATAGGAGACCTGTCCTTGCAGGACATGAGGAAGATCCCTCCATTGGCTCTTATAGAGCTGACAGCGCTCTGTGACACGCTGGGCCTGGGCCTGAAGAGAAGCAAGGCTGCAAAGCGGAGAGCAACAGGTCAGCAGTCAGGTGGCCCAAGTCCCGCCTTTCCCGTCTGGGGAACTGCATGGGGAGTCTTTCACCAAGACATGGTGGTGGTGGTTGTGTACTGTCAAGTCAGTTACGACTCATAGCCACCCTGTGAGTAGAACCCCCTGGGGTTTTCTAGGGTGTAATCTTTGCTGGGACAGATGGCCAGGTCTCCTCTCCTTTGGAGCTGCTGGTGGGTTCAAAGTGCTGACCTTTTCTGTTAGCAGACAAGCACTTAACCATTGCACCACTGTTGTTGTTGTTGTTGTTGTTATGTGCCGTCGAGTCGGCCCCGACTCATAGCGACCCCTCCTTGGGTTTCCGAGGCAGTATCACTACGGAAGTAGGATTGCCCAACCTTCCTTCTGAGGAGTGGCTGGTGGGTTTGAACCGCCAGCCTCTGGTTAGCAGTCAAGTGCTTTAGCCACTATGCTACCAGAGCACCACTAGGGCCCCTTAAATGCTTCTGTATTTCCCTCAGTTACATTTATTGTTTATTTCTCCATGTGAAAATAATTCATGTTCATTGTAGAAAATTTGGGAAATAGAGAAAATATAAAAGAGAAAAAACACAATTTAGATACAAGCACAGTTGACATTTGAGTGTATTGTCTTCCAGTTTTTTTCATGTGTGTGTGCATGTATATATAATATTTGAATATTATAGAACTATGGATATTTCCCATTGTTATTGTATCAGTCAGCTACTACCACAATTATGCTATATAACAAACACCCCCAAAACTAAAACAATAAACACCCATGGCTGAGGGATTGGCCAACTGATCCAAACTGGGCTAAGCTGCAGCCTGTAAACTGGGCTCCAAACTGTAAGCTGGGTTTAGGTCAACGTGATAGGTCATCCTCCTGGCTCCATCAAATCAAGATCTCCTCAGCGAGGCCATGATCTTCTCATGGCCACGGCAAAGCACAAACAAGCAAAGCCCCAACCACATTTTAAGGCTGTGCTTGAGTCGTGTAGATACAGTTCAATGGTCCAAGCCTAAACTAAGGGGCGAGGAAGTGTACTCACTACTCTAGTGGGACCAACTGCAAATTCACATGACACAGGGTATGGGTACAGGAAGGGGTAATGAATTTGAACCAATACCACCATTTACTACAATTGTTAAACATTCTTTGAAAACATGATTATTAATCACTGCACTATTTTCCTTCTTATGGATATATCCTGATTTATTTAACCATTTGTCTAATAGCTTCTGTGCTTTTGCTATTATGTACAGCACAGTGATTATTGTACATAGAGCTTTAAAAGCACTTTGTGTATTTTTAGAATACACTTGTTAGTTAAGTTCTTCGTGGACCCTATTGTGACGTGGCCTGATAGTCCTAGTGATGTTTTATTGAGTGTGTTCGTGGCACAGGGCATTTCCAGATGCTCCACCTGCTCTGCGATGTTTCCTCACCTCCTCTGGGAGATGGGCTCTGCCATCATGCCCCCCCACTTTACAGATAAAAAAGTAAAAGTGAAGCCTAAAGAGAAGTGACTTGGAAAGGGGATAGAGCTGTCTGATACACCCACTCCTCACTTAGCAACATGCTTAGGTTCCAAAGACCAGGTCATTGTGTGAAAGTGGACATTATGTGAAAATGGATGATGCCTGCACCATTACATAACTGCCAGATTGCATCAGTGCCTGATCGCCGAACCACTAAGGATCGTGGGCCAGCCAAGTTGACACATAACTATCATAGCCAGCATTCCTGACAGATGTACATTGTTAATGCACAAAATAGTCAGATTTTTTACTTATTGTTGCAAATGCAAAATGTCAGATAACGAGATGGTTGATAAGTGAGGAGTGGGTGTATACAATACCATGTATACTGTGTATACGATACACCTCTGAGAGCGTTCATCTCACTACATCCTTGTCAACATTGTGTATTGTGATTTGGCGGGGGGTGGGGGGAGGTTAAAATAAAAAGTAAAATGCCTGGAGACAAGAGGATGGTGAATAAGAAAGACCAAGGCTGGAATCTAGCACAGAAGGTGGTAGGTAGATGAAGGGAGAAGGAAGGAGGTTCTTGAGATTTGAAAAGAGGAGTTTTCCAAAGTAGACCGGAAGTCAGGATAGTTGAGACAACCTGGGAAATGTGTTTCTTAGCAACTTGGTCCATCCCTGCAGAGCTGAACACTCTGCCTTAGACTGTTGTAAGATGTTGTACCCAGTGGTCCATGGAGCAGCAGCACGTTTTCCTTCCCAAACCTCTTTATCCAGCTGAGGTTTTCTGCTCTGTGACATATCTAACGTTTTCTTTATCGCTGAGGCCAAACATTCTGCTCAAGAGATGTGACGTTTGGGCTCAGCCACTCTCTAGAGAGCCCAGCCCTTACACAGGGCAAAGATCAAACCCGACTTCCCCGGAGATCTTGTAGGTTGGAGCCCACGTATGATTCCAGGAAGTGAAGTGCACCTCTGCCCTCTTGACTTTCTGTAGAAACTCGCCTTTTCGGTGTGCCCCTTGATGCCTTGCTGGAAGCCGACCGCCACGCCCTCCCCAGCACCCAGGTCCCACTGGTCCTTCAAGCTGTAAGTTGCCCCCAGCTTGGGCTTCCAAGTACTTCTTGAGAGGCTGGCTCTGGGCACCACTGTTGGGAGATGCATAGAGAAAGGAGAAAAGTGTGGACTCTAGACTCAGGGAGACCTGGGTTCAAATCCTGTCTCTTATAGTTGCCACTGGAGAGATCCGGGGTGAATTATTGAATCTTTATGAACATCCCTTTCAATATCTATTTAAAAAACTCACTGCTGTTGAGTTGAGCCTGACTTGTAGTGACCCCTCCTTGGGTTTCCGAGGTGGTATCACTACAGAAGTAGATTGCCCAACCTTCCTTCCGAGGAGTGGCTGGTGGATTTGAACCACCAGGCTTCTGGTTAGCAGTCACATGCCTTAGGCACTATGCTACCAGAGCTCCTCAACATCTATAAAGTGGGGTTAATATTGTCCTCTTCTCAATAAGCATTAAATGGGAAGAATGCATGTAAAGCTGTTCACACAATGTCTGGGTCCAGAAAATAGTCCAGAAAGCTATAGTAATTATTGCAAGCAAAACCCTTCTTCAAGCTCTTCCCTCTTCCTGGTTTTCATGGGAGGCAGACACACCAGTTTGATTCCCAGTTTCCGATGGTTGCTGGTTAAAATGTTGGGGGTTTTTCTCTCTCAAAGCTGCTGTCCTGTTTGGAAAAGAGAGGGCTGGACATGGAAGGCATTCTCAGGGTGCCGGGATCCCAGGCCAGGATCAAGGTAACTATTCGGCATCCCCTACCTCATCATGTCCTGGTGCCTGGTGCTGGGAGAGTCCAGTTCATGGCTTGTCAGTGTTCTGCTTTGGTTTCCGTACGGGCCATGGAATTCCAGGAGGGTTTGAGAGGGCAGGGTTGGCCCAGCAGAGCATGGGGCTGAGAGTGTGTGCTCTGGAGTGAGACCGGCCAGAGTTTATTGAGCTCAGCCTCAGGGGTATCTAAGATGTGGCAGGTATGGCATGGCCCTGGGCGCTCCTTGAAGCGGGGGCACCAAGCAGTTTCTATTAACCCACTGTGGCCCAATGTCCTTTCTCAAGCACAGTAGACATCCAGAGGTGTGGGAAGGGGTAGAGAAGGGTCTTGCCCTTGGGCACAAGTTCAAGGGGGCACCAGATGAGGTATGGAATGACATTCTGAGGCACCACAAATATGAAGGGCATCTGACTGAAGCAGCTGGGCAAGAAGGGGGAAGGTGTTTGAAGATGAAATGTTCACTTATCTTGAAATTGGGGGGGGGCACAACTGGAGATTCCCCCAGGCACTCATTACCCTCCCAACACACCTAGCCAGCCCGGGGCTTAGTGACTTGCATTAGGCCATTAATCCTCATGTCAACCCTACAGGGTAGGTGCTATTATTGTTCCCATTTTGTTGATAAGGAAACTGAGGCCCTCTCTAGTAGGGCCACTTGCACTGAAACCTGGGGCCGATTTCTCACTGGTGCCCTTCCGTCTTTCAGGAGCTGGAACAAAAGCTGGAGAGAAACTTCTACGCTGGTCTTTTCTGCTGGGATGAAGTCCATCACAACGATGCGTCTGACTTGCTCAAAAGGTTCATCCGGGAGCTCCCGGCCCCACTGCTCACAGCCGAATACCTTCCAGCCTTCTCTGTGGTACCAGGTGAGTGTGCACCGATCCCTTTGCACTGGGGACAAGGAGAGGCTGAGGCCACTGGCCTTGGTTGGAGAGGGAATGTCGGAGGGAAGCAGCACCACCTGTTTCCAGGGATATCTGTTCCCTGTGCTTGGGAGCTGTGGAGGAAGTGGAGAAGAGAGGACTGAGAGACTCTTAGTCGTATGTGTGTGTGTCTGTGTGTGTGTCTGTGTGAGTGAGAGAGAGAGAGAGAGCACATATGCACACACTGACTGTGGGCACTCAGAGGGCGTGAGGGAGAGGAGCAGGGTGATGCTTTCCACATCCCTGTCCTTACTGCAGTTCCTCACGTAGGCCAATCTCCTTCCCTTCCCGATCTCTGTGAGGATGAGCTCACACAGGTACATCTAGCTGTGTGTCTGTGGGCACACGCATATATGTGCGTGTCTGTCTGTGGACATGCCTGCAGACTGGCATGTACCTCACAGACCCCTGTCTATACTCTGCATATATGTGTTTCTGTCTGGACTTCTCACAATCCATAGGGTGCAAACATGGTCCTTCCAGTCTTCTCAAAACAATTAACCAACCCACTTACAACTTCAAGGGAGCCCAGTTCTCTCCTCCCTCACCCCCTTTGTCTGTCTGTCTGTCTGTCTCTCTCTCTCTCTCTCTCTCTCTGAATTCTCCAGAAAACTCAAAGGCTTGGGCAATCTGACTTCCAGCCCCAAGCCAGGGGCCAAGACTCTGACCGTTGACTCCAGCCATTGCTTCTCAAGCCCCGTTTTAAAGCACAGTTGGTCACATCACCCATCTTACACACCACTAGGCATAACACTCTATTTTATTTTCTGTATAGCACATGTCAATGTGTGGAGGTATTTCATGATTTCTTTGCTTGTTTATTGTCTACCTACTCCCATGAAATTTGAGCTGTAATTTTTGCTTCTTTCACTATTGTACCAGAGGTGCTTGGGGTGGATGTGGGAGATCACAGGGCTGGGTAGATCGGGTGTGGGGAGCTCGGGGACCCTAGAATGACCAAAGTGGTTTTCCAGAGTCGTTCTCATTAAAGCCAGAGAAGAAAAAATATACCGATCAAATCCTCAGCCTAGCCTCCCACCATGTGATGTGCATGCCCTCACTCAGACACGCATTTTCCCCACATAGCTTTGAGTGATATGGAATCTGTCTGGACAGACTGCCACATGTTGTTATGAATTTTTATGTGTCCACCTGAGCTGTGTATGCTCAACTCGTGCAAATCAGCACACATTTCCTATGAATCTGCACCTAAAGGTTGGGCCCTGCAGACGCGTTGCATTTATTACCCTAGGCTGTAGCCCTCAGACTGCATATCTGGGGGGGGTGCCCACATACATGTGTGTATACAAACATGCTGGTGTGTGCACATGTATGCGTGTGTGCATATATGTGCATGGGTCTGTGTGTGCTTGTGCATGGGTCTTTATGTGTGCATGTGTATGCACTTGTGTCTCTGTACACATGTGTATTCATGTGTTTTATATGCATGTGTATGTACATGTCTCTGTGTCCATGTGTGTGTATGCACATACACATGTCTCTGTGTGCATGTTATGCATTTGTGCCTTTGTGTGCCCACACATGTATTCATGTGTGCTTTGTGTGCATGCATGCACACATGTGTCTCTATGTGCCTGTATGTGCATGTGCATACACATGTGTCTCTGTGTGTATGTATGCACTTGTGTCTTTGTGTGCACATATGTGTATTTGTGTGTGCTTTATATGCACGTGTGCACACATGTGTATTCTTGTGTACTTTATATGCAGGTGTGCACACGTGTCTCTGTGCATTGTGTGCATGTGCATGCACATGTGTCTTTGTGTGTGTATGTGCTTACACATATGTCTGTGTCTACACATGTGTATTCACATATGCTTTATACACATGAACACATGTGTCACTGTGTGCATGTGCATGCACATGTGTCTCTGTGCATGTGTGTGCACTTGTGTCTTTGTGTGCACACATATATTTGTATGTGTGTACACATGCATGCACGTGTGTCTGTGTGTGCATGTGTGCACTCACAAAGTGTTGGGAGGGAGATTTTGCACCAGCACTGCTCAGGGCTCTTTCTGGGCTGACGCTAGTCCAGGAAACAGTCCCAGGCCTTATGAGGAAGGAATTCTTGGCTGTGCTGGCCTTCCCAGTTCTGGGATCTTCCCTCCCCAAGAAGGAGCCTCCAGACTGGGAGAGGGGGAGTCCTGAGCTCCCTGAGACTGAGGCCCTTGATCTTCCCTCAGACATCCCCAGCCTGAAGCAGCGCCTCCAGGCTCTCCACCTGCTCATCCTACTCCTCCCGGAACCCAACAGAAACTCCTTGAAGGTAAAAGTTAGCATGAGCCGCCTCTGTTCCACCACCTCAGCCCACAACCACAGTCATGGCTCCAAATGTGCTCATTCATTCATTCATTCAACAATGAATGAATGCCAGGTGCTGGATGCATAATGACCAGCACAGACTTCCCCTGAGGTTTGTTTCCTAAACAAAGCAGTTGAGCCCCGAAAGGGGGTCGTGTTTCTGGAAGGGCCCTGCAGAACGTCATTTCCATGGGATCCTAACAGGTGTTACAGGGAAGAGGAATCTATGTCCAAACAAAATAGGTAAGCACTGGGTTAATGAAACAAAGTCAAGGACAGTTCTTCTTTGCCGGACTTCTCAGAGCATTGGGTATGCTAAGGTTTTGTGAATTTCCAAGTGGGATTAGAGTGTATAGCACTTCCCAAACTTACTCGATCAGGGCTCACTTTTGTTGTGAAGAACAATGCACGGAACTGGAGTTCTGTGGGTGACAGTTTGGAAAATACTCCCTTAGGAAAATCTAACTGTGTGCTGTTGGGGTGGGTACTCGGGGACAGGAGCTGGGGCTCAGCCTTGGCTTAGCTCCCTGCACCTTCCTGAGTGTTTTGGGGTCAGACTCAAGATGTGCTTCTGGGGTAATCTGTGAGGGGGCCCAGTGTGCACTGGGAACCTTGTCTGGTGTGGATGTAGGAGGCCACAAGGAAGTCTTTATAACCAGATAGAGCTGGGTGCGAGTGATGGCCACTTCCTGTGCCTCAACTTTGGTTGAACAGACAACCTCTTTGACTTCTATCTCCTCAGTAAACTGAGGATAATAATAGTATTTTTGTGTTTGTTTTGGGAATTACAAGAGCTAAAAATTGCCAGAGAAATCATGGAGTAGACGTGGTACTTAGCAGATACCCAGTATATATGCTTCCATCCGTCCGTTCTTCCAGCCATCCATCCTTTCATCTAACTATCCTTCCATCATCTGTCATCTATCCTCTTCCCTTCGACCCATTCTTCCATCCATCTCTCCTTCCCACTCATCCTTACTGGCTGTGTAGCCTTGGGCACACTTTTCAAGCTTCAGTTTCCATCTCTGTAAAATGGGTACAATAGTTATGAGGATTAAATGAGATAGCAAATGCATGCAAGCCTTTAATTAAAGGACCAAGCATACTAGGATTAGTTAATACATGGTAGCTGTTCTCATCTCTCTCTTGTCTTCCCATTCTTCCTACACCCCTCATCTTTCATTTTTGGGGCATGTCCAGACACTAGAAAGGATCTGAGTGTCCTAAGGGTCACCAGGAAAAGGCCCACTTCCCAGAGCTGTGGCTCTCTTCTGCTCAGAAGTTCAAGCCTGACCCCATTGTCCTCACTAATCTCTGTGGGAGCAGGCAAGGGAGGGGGTTTTATTTACATTTTACAGAGCAGGAAACTCAGACACAGAGAGGTCACGGGGTGGGCTGGTGGCAAAGCTGAATCTAAACCATGCACCCATCATGCCCCATCTTTTTGAACTGTTCCTGCCTTCCCAGCTTCTGGCTCCTTCCTGTCCCCAAATCGCTCGTCAGATTGTTCTGAGAAAGGTGAGGAAGTATTTGGAACATGCTATGCCCTTCCCCAGGCACTCCTGGAGTTCCTCAGGAAGGTGGTGGCCCGGCAACAGAGCAACAAGATGACGCTGTGGAATGTGTCCACGGTGATGGCCCCTAGTCTCTTCCTGCACCAAGGATGGGCCCTCACAGTCCCCAAGGGCAAGGAGAAGCGGCTGGCCGAGGGGGCAGCGGAGGTGGTACAGCTGATGGTGCACTACCAGGACCTGCTGTGGACGGTGGGTGCTGCTGGGCAGCTGGGAAAGCCAAGGAGGGAGGGCCAGGCTGGGTGGCATGGGCTGGCCCCTTCCTCCTCTGGGTGCAGCTGCCCTGCCACCCCTGTGCCCAGCATGCACCATCCTTTTGAACTCCTAGTTGTGTCTGTTCCTTGACCTGTCTTGGACCCCATGTATGGGCCAGTGTCTTCAGCCTCCCCCTGCCTTAGTGCCTGAGACGTGTCCACACTTGCTCTCCCCAGTGCCACACCTCAGTCACTCCACTGCCTCTGCTGAGCCCCGGAGAGCAGGTGTTCCTGAAGCCCCTGCAAAGAATCCCTCCACATCAGAGCTTTAGTGGTGCACAGCAAGCCCACCCCAAAGGCTCAGGCACACAGGGCCTGCCCAAGACAGATGCTAAAGCCAGGGAACCAAGACACCCTCTGTCCCCATTAACAAGAGCAGGGAGAGACCAGACCCCTCTGCAGTGTGGGCACACAAGGTCTGTGGAACTGTGAGGGTGGTCTTCCCAGTCGAAGACTGCTTCAGTACTTGAGAGTCCCACAAACACAAGGTAGCCCGGTCCCCCACTGCAGAAATGGAAAGCTCAATGAGCAATGTGGGAATTGCTGACCGCTTTGTGGGTGAGAGAGACTGCACCACTAGCGTGTCTCTCATCCCTCTGATGTAAGTAAGCGTTCAACACTTTGGGCAATAACACTTTTTTATTACAGGGAATTTTAAAAATTCAAGAAATGCCTAAACGTCCTCTCATAAAAACTTTCCATTAACATCAGAAACCCCAAACCCTTTGCTGGAGAGTGAATTTCAAATCATGGAGACCTATGTCACAGCGTAGAACAGCTTCATCGTTTTCTTGGCTTTATGGAAGCAGACCTCGCCAACATTTAAATTAGCAGCCAAGTGCAAGCCGTTTGTGCCAAATTTCCCCTCACCTCTCCCCCAAGGTGCTTCATGTGTCTTATTCAGGCAGCTAGGAAATCGAGGAGCCAACAATCAACCCAGCTCTGCCTTTGTTTGCACGGTCCAGGGAGTCTGGCTCTGTCCCTAGGTTCCTAGTCTACGGAGAGGCATGGGTCTGTGGGCACTCTCCAACGCAGGGCTGGCCGGGGGTACTCAGAGCCGAGCCCCCTCTAGGCGTGCCCTTGGGGGCTCCCCTCCTGAGGGTTGTCCCACGGCCTGCGCAGGACCCTCCAGCCTTCTGTCCGAGAGACCTCTGCCCGCTAAGATTCAGGATCCCCTACCCCACGGCGCTCTTTAGGGATTCAAATGCCCTCCCTCCTCCCACCAAACCAGCGCTTCAGTCCCTTGTTCAACAAACATGTATTGCCAAGTCCGATGCAGGATGCCTGGCAGGGCCCACGGTGACCCTGCCTCACATCCCCGGCAACCCCACGCTCCTGACAAGGTTCGCTTCTGTCTGGTCAGGTCGCCTCCTTCTTGGTCGCCCAGGTGCGAAAACTGAACGACAGTTGCAGCCGGCGCTCCCAACTCTGCGACGGGGGTCTTAAGATTTGGCTGCGAAGGATGCACGTGGACCAAGACAAAGCAGGGAAGGGGTCAGGGGAGGTGAGGGCCCTCTTTGGGCGGATGGAGAACGGGGCGGGGGTGGCGCGCCAAGAAGGGACCCGGGGGGCGCCACGCATCGCCATCTTCTCCGTACTCGCCGCGGGCAGCTAGGAACTGCGCTGCCGCTGTGGGCCACGAGGGGGCACCCAGGCTCCATGGCATCGAATGATGGTGCCTCGGAGACAGGGAAGTGCTGGGGAGAGAAGGAAGGAGGCAGGCAGACTGGTGTGGGCAGGGGTGCTTCTCCTAGATACCATCGCCCCTGTCCCTTTGTTAGGGAGCCCTGTGTGTGCCTGGCCGAGGGGTGGAAAAGCGGAGGTCGTTTTGTGGGGTGTGGGATTAAGGGGAAACAGCAGGAAAGGAAGGTCTAAGAGTGCTGAGTGCTCCTGGTTCCTTGAGCACTTCCTTTTGTACTCCTAAAGTACAAACCAACTGCAGTGGAGCTGATCCCGACTGACGGCGGCCCCGTGTGTATCAGCGTAGAACAGTGCTCCATGGGGTTTTCAATGGCTGATTTTTCTAAAGAAGATTGCTAGTCCTCCGGGTAGACTTGAACCTCCAACCTGCAATAGTGCAGCCGATAGCCTTACCACTGACAACACCAAATGACTCTATGGATAAAGTCCAGAGCATAGAAAATGGCCAGGGCTGGCCTGCACTGTGTATGATGGCTGTGCGTGATGAGTCCTTATAGTAGTCTACATGTGCTTGCAGGTGCATTGCATGCGATTTTGTTGTATGCATGCATATGAACGCATGTATGTTTCTATGCCTGTATTTGTGTGTGCACACATCAGGGCGTATGTATGTATGTAGACATGATTGGATCTGTGCACAAGTGCCTGGTGTGTTTGTAGATGTGTGCATCTTTTGTTTTGCAGGGTGGGTATTTGTGTAAGTGGGTATCCCTCTCTCTGCAGATCCCCAAAGTGGTGAAGATCCAGGTGGCCTGTCCTGTGAAGGACCCCATGGACGTGCTCCTGACCCCCAGCATCAAAGTCGCTCATGTGCTGAGGCAGTTCTCAGAGCAATGCCGCCCTGGGTCACAGGGCCAAGGGGGCAGCGAGGACAAGCACAGCCTCCTTTCTTGGTAAGGGGCACCACCTCCCTGGGGCTGGAGTCTCTCCCCTGCAGGTAGCAGGGAGGGGGGCCCAGGGAGGAGTGAGCACCTCAGAGCTGAAGGCCATCCAGGGAGGTTGCACATGCCATTAGCCTGGCCTTTAGCCTTTACTTTTCTGAAGTGGTCAGAAATGGGTTCCCCAAACTTTTTAGAGAGCTTCTGGTCTCTGAATACTAATGACAGTGGACACTGTTCGTTTATTCATTTAACGGTGTTCTGGTTATCTAGTGCCACTCTGACAGAATATACCACACATGGGATGGCTTTAACAAACAGGAGTTTATTCTCTTACAGTTTGGAGGCTTTAGGTCTGAGTTCAAAGTGTGAGGCCCTAGGGTCTGGTTGAAAGCCCCTCAGCCTTGGGCTTCAGCTCTGCCTCCTGCTCCCAGCCCAAAGCTGGAGGCTTTTCTTCACTCAGACAGCAACTGGCTGCTGAGACTGACAAGCCCAAGGTTGGCAACTAAGAAAGCACAGTCCCAATGTTACCAAACCACATGGCAGGCCATTAATTCAAGTCCATTTAAGTCCCAAGGTCAGCAGAGCATGGCAGGCTGCTGAACAATGACACAGCTACATGCAGGGTTCAAGCATGCCATAGGCTAGAAACCATTCCCAAGGCTTTTCCTTATATATAGGAAGCAGACCACATCCCAAAGGCAGCTATTCAGCTGCTTATGGTCGATCCCACCATGCAATTGATTGCCAGTCTCCTCATGGGGAATAACTACATCCAGCTGCCCAGCCACTCAACCAGGCCTAGCCAAGTTGGCACACTAACTTAACTATCACAACAGTTATTTAATGAACTCCTACTGTGGGCCAGGTACTATGTGCAATGCTAGGATAGCAAAGAACAGAGACCCTCCCCTGACATGCTTGCAGCCCTGTGGAAGAGACAGACATGGATCAGATAACTACGAAATAAATATTAACTTATTGACTGTATTAGGCTCTGTAAGAAATAAGGAACAGCGGTATAATCTGAGGATGAGAGAAGGTTTCCAGGCTGAGAACTGTTTGTGCAAAGGTCCTGAGTCAGCAAGGAGCATGGCATGGACAAAAAGCTGAAGGAAGGTCAGTGGAGCTGATGTGTGGCCATTATCCCAGGAGGCAAGAAACAACCTGAGCCCTCAGGAGGCTCCCTGATGGGGTTGGCATAAGAGACTCTGAGACTATCAGTCCTCAGTGAGTGTCTGCTTCAGTCCCTCTGTGGTAGTTAAGCTTGTGTGTAAACTTGGCTGGGATGTGGTTTTGAGTGGCTAGGCAGCTGGATGTAGTTATTCCCCATGATGAGACTGAGAATCAACTCCATGCTGGAATCTACTGTGAGCAGCTGAGTAGAGAACTACGTAGTAGCCTGCTTCCAGTATATAAGGAGAAGTTTTGAGAATGGTCTCTAGCTTTTTGG